ATCTATAACTCCATTCCAGGGGATCAGACACCCTCAGACATATAAAACACTCGTGCATATAAGATAAAAATAAATAAATCATTTTTAAAAAACATTTACACAGAAACAGTTTTCATTGGGTGTTGAGGTTAAACCCCTAATCATGGCAACTTGAGAAGTAGAGGCTGTAGGATCAGGAGTTGAAGTTTAGCCTCCACTACACAGCTAGAGGGCAACCTGTGTTACATAACACCCTGGAAATAGAAGAGAGGAGAGAACAGAAAGAACAGACTTTTTTTTTTGTTCCTGAGACAGTTTCTCTGTGGCTTTGGGGGCTGTGCTGGAACTAGCTCTTGTAGACCAGGCTGGTCTCGAACCCACAGAGATCCACCCGCCTCTGCCTCCCGAGTGCTGGGATTAAAGGTGTGCACCACCACTACCTGGCTGATAATACATATAGAAATGCTTCTCATATGATTTTTTGGTACAAAACGCTAATTCTGGCTGATTGTGCATGCTCCTATCTGTAATCCCAACAACATTCATTGGCTGAAGCAGGAGGACTGCCACAAGTTTGAAGCCAGCCTGTACTACATAGTATGTCTCAAGCCAATCTAAACTACAAATTAAGACTCCATCTCTGAAAAAAGAAAACATTTTTACAATGATTTCTAATGTTCACAGTCACTAGTCGAAAACACAAATTTTTTAAACAAATTAGGTCGGCAATCTGACCCCAACTTTAGTCAGACTGCTGGAAAACCAATCCCAGTATCACATTCAACTTAACTATTAGGACAAAACATTTTCCTGACCCTAATAAAACTTAGAAGATGTAGAATTTTTATTTTTAGTGCCTGAAATTTTCTTCATGAGTGAATTATAGACATCAAGATAAATCTGTTTATTCTCATGCCAAAGCCCAGCCCTATGTTCTCTCTCTGTTAGAACTCCTAAACATTCAACCAAACTCAATTTTTTAAAGCTGCCCCTATGCACATCCAAAGCAAGTTTTCAGTGTTTGACAGAGGCTGAGAGGGGAGAGATTTGCAAATTAAGAATATAAAATGAGAGAAAAGGCTACTGATAAAAAGACAAAGGTGTTGGTTAAAAAAGAAAAAAAGTCTGTGGTTTATTTAAAAACAGAACAAGCCAAACTAACAAAAAATAACTCTAGGAATCTATGTATCATTTCATTTTGGAAACTAACCTCAGTTAACAGGGTGGTCCCTTCCCTCACTACTACCACCCACCAGGAGCAAAGAATGAAAAACATGGGACACAAAAGTATGAGTTTATCTTGGTTCTAGATTTATGCCTTTGCTTGGGTATTCAGCACGGAAAGAATAAACATCAACAAGAAACCTTAAGCAAGCATTTTAAAAGTTATCTTTTATGTTAAATGTAAACAGACAAAATGAATGAGCATGAGGAACACTATAGTCTTCAGTATCTCTCATGACAGGTTTTCTGTGTTGCCCTGGCTGTCCTGGAACTCGCTCTGTAGACCAGGCTGGCTTTGAACTCAAGAGATCTGCCTGCCTGACTCCCCGGTGCAGAGTTTAAAGGCATGCCACACCACTGCCAAGCATTTTCTCTTTTAAGAAAAGAGTCATTGTGTATGTAACCCTGGCTGGCTTGGATTATATAGATCCAGGTTGACCTCCTCAGCCTGCCTCTGCCTCCAGAATACTGTAATTCAAGGTATGAACCCAAATATGGCCCAAAGCTGTAGTTTCTATGGCTACCTACCTCATTTCAGAACATAAAGATTGTTTCACAATCAGCCACCACTGGGTGGTGGTGGCCCACACCTTTAATCCCAGCACTCTACAGAGCTAGTTCCAAGACAGCCAGAGCTACACAAAGAAACCTTGTCTTAAAAAAAAATAAGAAAATAAATAAAAAAGATTGTTTCACATTCAATGGGCTTTCTACTACACTGTACTGGGAACAGTTTGAAAGTATTGTTAGAGTTTTCTAGTATGCAATACTGTATCAGAAAAGAGGATAAAATAAGATATTTTGTAACAACTATATAGCTGGAAGTCTAAGTCTCTATGTAACTATACCTCCTTTTTTTGTTTGTTTTTTTTTTTTTTGTTTTTTGAGACAGGGTTTCTCTGTATAGTTCTGTAGGCCAGGCTGGCCTTGAACTCACAAAGATCCACCTGCCTCCTGCCTCCCAATTGCTGGGATTAAAGGTGTAGGCCACCACAGCCAGGCTTTTTTCTGTTAATCTTTTTATTGTATTTAATTATAAATTAGATCTAAGTGTTAGTGGCTCCTACAGGTAAATTATGTTAGCTTGGGCTACAGAATAAGACTCTGTGCACTACTGGGTGACACACACCTTAAATCCCAACACTATAGATGCAGAGGCAGGCAGGACTCTGTGAGTTCAAGGCCAACATCTACAAAGGGAGTCCTAGTACAGCCAGAGCTATACAGAGAAACCCTGTCTCCAAAAAACAAAACAAAGAAACAAACAAAAAACAAAACAAGCCGGGCGTGGTGGCACACGCCTTTAATCCCAGCACTCGGGAGGCAGAGGCAGGTGGATCATTGTGAGTTCAAGACTAGTCTGGTCTACAAGAGCTAGTACCAGGACACCTCCAAAGCCACAGAGAAACCCTGTCTCAAAAAACCAAAAAAGCAAAACAAAACAAAACAAAAAACAGAACAAAAAACAAAGACCCTATGTCCAACTCCCCCCAAATATACTAGCTCAAAATACACACACACACACACACACACACACACACACACTGACCTACATGATAAATTTTAAAACTTATTTTTGCTGGGTGATGGTGGTGCACACCTTTGATCTCAGCACTCGGGAGGCAGAAGCAAGCAGATCTCTTTAAGCCTGGTCTACAGAAGGAGTTCCAGGGCAGGCACCAAAGCTACACAGAAAAACTGTCTCAAAAAACAAACAACAACTTTGGGGGGGAAACAAGGAATCACTATGTAGTTCAAACTGGCACTGAGCCTCTTGCCTCATCCTCCCCTGACAAAGGACACACACCAGACTCACAATGTATTTTAAAATAACGCACTCTTTTAAAAAGACTTTCATTTTTATTTTATGGCTCTGATTTTTGGCTTTTTCTAAGATCATTCTGTTGGTTTTCATGGGGTTTTTTTTGTATTGTTTTTTGAGATAGGACTTCCCCATATAGCCAGCAGCTTGTGAGAGAGAGACAGAGAGACAGAGACAGAGAGAGAGACAGACAGAGACAGAGAGAGAGTGTGTTGGTGGGGAAAGAGTTGTTGAGACATGAGTTTTTCAATGTAGCCCTGGCTGTCCTGGAACTCACTCTGTAATCAATTAAGACATTTTCCCCTCAATTATGAGCGACAACCAATGAGAAGACTGTTCAAGTTTAATCATCACAATCTGTAACCTATGTGGTCCGAAGACCAAAAGAAGGCTATTGAGCTAGCTAGCTTCCTGAACCAACCAAGATATGAGGAGTTGCATGCTTCCTGCTCCTGTCACTGAAGGAAGGAGGTACTATCCCAGTAGCCATGCCTTCTCCACAAAATGTAGTATATTCAACACATTTAATCACACAAAACTGTCAGCCAAAATAAACATCTTCTTCCTTAAAAGACAAAGGCAAGCAGATCTGTGAGTTCAAAGTCATCCTGTCTACATGGTGAATTCCAGGACAAATTTCACACACACACACACACAGGGGGTTGGGGCAGGCAGAGACCTACTACTCTTCCAGAGGAACCAGGTTTGATTCCTAGAACCCATCCACATGGCAGGCTACCAACTACCTCTAGATCCAGGGTATCTGATAACTCCCTTTTCTGGCCTCCACGAGCACCGCAAATTCATGTAGTCCATACACATGCATGCAAAACACCCATACACATAAAATAAAAAAGAAATGAAGGAGGAAGCTGAGAAGAAAGGCAACCCTAGAAGTAAAGAGTAGTTTTACATTTTTTTTTTTTTTTAATTTTTGTGGTGGGACTGATCATGACAGCACATGTCTGTGATCCCAGCATTCATAGGGACTGACCAAATTCCAAGGTTACCAAAAAAAAAAAAGGACTTTTCAGTATGGTCCTGAGATGAATCCAGTATTTAGACACATGTTAGACATGCACTGTACCAGTTAGCAATCCTGGTCTTTTGTTTTGTTTTATTTTTTGAGACAGAATTTCTGTATAGCTTTGGAGCCTATGGTGACACTCACTCTGTAGACCAGGCTGTCCTCGAACTCACAGAGATCTGCCTACCACTGCCTCTCAAGTGTTGGGATTAAAGGGGTGGACCACCACCACCTGGCTCCAATCTTACAATCTTTGAGACAGGGTTTCTAAATAGCCCTGGAACTATGTAGATCAGGAAGGCCTTGAGATCACAGATATTCACTTGCCTCATCAAGTTTTACATTTTTTTTTTCCCAAGACAGAAACTCTGTGTAATAGCTCTGGCTGTCCTGGAACTCACTTTGTAAATCAGGCTGGCCTCCAACTTGAAAAGATCCGCCTGCCTCAGCTTCCCAAGTGGAGGCAGCCAGGCTACCTCACTTTTACATTCTTAAAAGGGTTTTTTTGAAAAACAAATTGCAAACCATGGGGCTGGGGATATATCAGGCTAGTGTGCAAGAGATTCAGAAGGCCATATATGTTCAATCCCTATCACGGCTGGGTAAGGGGAAAACCAAAGAGAATATGAAATATGACTGAGAATATATGTGGCTCTCAAGACCTAAATTATTTAGTACCTGACCCTATGCAGAAAGCTCACCAAACTTTATTTTGTGGTACCAAGACACAGGACATTACCCAGAAGTAGCCCTTTCTCATCAGATTAACTAAAAAAACATTTCTATTGAATCAGCTCAACATGTCTTAAATAAACCATTTTACACTTGCCTGATTAATTACTCCTTGAAGGGACATCTCAGAAGGGTCTATTCCCCCCTTTGGATTCAATAGTTTCAGGGAAGCATTAGAGTTAGTTTGTAATAAATGCAAAAGAATGGATGTCTTACCTGGGGCATTTGCTATAGCCAAAGGCAGGCCTGGAAGCTGGTGCACCTGGATCCCTGAAGTGCCCAATGCACTGAGGTTAATGGTCTGGAGGCCTGGCATGGAGGAAAGTTGTGCAGCATTCACAGTGACTGTGCCAGCAGGAATGGAGGCAGCTGAGGCAATGGGTGTAAGGGTAGTATTGCTGCTGCTAGTCTGCCCCAAGGAAACGCCCTGCATAGGGGCCAAGGTGATTGTCTGGGCTTGTGGGTTCTGAACTTGAAGGTTCTGCAGCTGAAGAGTCTGCCAACTGACCTGTCCGTTGGGCCCCACTGTTGGTGTCCGAATGATGATGGGACCAGAGTTCTGAACAGCCTGAAGCTGAAGGTTCTGGAGGGTTTCCTGGGAAATAGCTTGAGTTGTGAAGGTTTGCCCTGATAATGGTGCTGCTTGGAGGGCCTGAAGAGCTTGTCCCCCTTGAACTAGCTGAGGCTGAATAAGAATTTGTTGTTGCTGTGTCTGACTTTGCTCTCCTTCTTTTTGCTGACTTCCTTGCAGTGAGCCTCCTGATGTCTGGTTCTGCTGGATGTTGAGAGAATCGGACCCTTGTAGCCCACCAACCCTCTGGGGTGTCTGGCCTTGAGAACTGGTTCCTGACGATCCGCTGGTGGTAAAGTTCATGATTCCCATGTTGCTGGTGGTAGTAGTTGTAGAGTAGCTATTGGCATTGGTGAAAAAGGAGCTGGAGCTAGCTTGTGATGACACCAAGCTGGCAGAACTGATAGCAGTCCCTGAGGTAACAGGCTGTGAGCCGCTCTCCTGGGATCCAGAACTGCTGATGGTGACTGCCTGAGAGCTGGGAGTCAAGGTAGCTGCAGAAACACTGTTGACAGGCAGCAAGGTGATGTTCCCATTCAGGGCCACTGGAACGTTGGTCACATACTGAGTCTGTCCTGAGAGCACATTATTTGCAAGGCCTTGGAGGGGGACAGCCTGCTGGAGTAGATTTGGCATAGCAGCAATTATGTTGCCCCCACTTCCTCTATTTGTGATGATCTGTTGGTTTGCACCCGGTATGATCTGTATTTGACCAGAACCATCCTGCTGCACTTGAGCCCCAGTGGCAGCAAACTGCAGCTGCTGCCCATCAACAGTCTGGAACTGTGGGATTACTTGATACTGAATATTAGGCATTACTCCAGGTAGACCTGTCAGAACTTGCTGGTTTTGTAAGTTGGGGGTAGCAGCCACAACATACTGCCCACCAGAGACTGTACGATTCTTGGAAGACTCGCTGCCATTGCTGCCATTGGTACTGTTGCCACTCTGTTCCTTTGAGGTAGGGGTAGCCCCAGAGGAGGAAGAGATGATCTGCCAGCCATTGGCACCCTGTGAAAGTTGTGTGGCTGTGAGGTCAAGTTCACCTGTGCCCCCTGACTGACTCGGACCCTGGGAGTTGTTGCTGTTCTCATTGGGTGACTCAATTCTGCTGCAGGTTGCTGCCAGCAGAGCCAAAGGAGATGGCTGGGATTCCTGGCCAGAAGAGAGGAAAGGAGTTAGTGGCACCCAATAGCCTGCCTAGGGGGCAGTATTCAACAGACAAACAGCAACAATGCAGGCATATAAAGAGCAAAAACCAGAAATAAAATGCTGACTTTTGTGTACTGTTCCAACTTTCTTATTTGGGGACCCTCTAGATCATCTATCTTTCTGTGTGTACTTCACTACTGTATTTTTTTTCTCCCAGCTTTTTGATTAAGGAACTTTCTAAGAATATTTACACCCTCAACACCTTCCCCACCTTTGACTGATCACTCACCTGCCCTCCTCCGACACCACTGCTGCTGCTACTGCCTGTGCTGCTGCTCCGAGTCTGAGAAAAAGATGCACCACCACCATTACCGTTACCCCCGTTATTGCCACCAACACCTTTTTCAATCTTCACGGCTGTCACTTCATCCATGGAGTGATCTTGATCTAAAAATAATTACAAAACAATAACTTAAAGTGGAAGAAGGAGAAAAAAAATCACCCAAAGGTTTAAAATAAGGCTCTGATAACCAGCCTAATGACTAATAGAATGTTTAAAAGCAGAGTAAAAAAGGAAATAGGGCCAGATATAGATATGGTGATAGGCCTGAAATCTCAGAATTTGGAAGTGGAGGCAAGAGGGACATGGAGGCAAGAGAAATAAGAGTTCAAAGAAATTTTCAGTTACATCAGTTGAGATGCCAGCATCTCATGCCAGGCATGCAGAACAGGCATGTGCCTCAATGGTGTCCAAGATGGGCCACTATTTCCCCATGTACAAAATTAAAGTCAAAAACCATTCAAAAAGCGCTTTGGGCTGGGCAGTGGTGGCGCACGCCTTTAATCCCAGCACTCCGTAGGCAGAGGCAGGTGGATCACTCTGAGTTTGAGACCAGCCTGGTCTACAAGAGCTAGTTCCAGGACAGCCTCCAAAGCCACAGGGAAACCCTGTCTTAAAAAACCAAAAAGAAAGCGCTTTCGAGCTGGATGGTGGTGGTGGCAGCAGTGAAGGCACACACCTTTAATCCCAGCACTTAGGAGGCGGAGGCAGGCAGATCTCTGTGACTTCAAGGCCAGCCTAGTCTGCAGAGTGAATTCCAGGACAGCCTTCAAAGCCACAGAGAAACCGTGTCTCAAACCCCCATCCCCACCCCCACCCCCCAAAAAAGTGCTTTGGAAGCCAGGCATGGTGACTCACACCTGTTCATCAGTTCTAAGTCTATCTGGACTAGAGTGAGACCTGGCCTTAAACAAGACAAATAGCATTTCTGAAAAAGGGAATTTGAGGGCAGTATCTCAGGAATACTAGTTGCCCCTAGTGTTGGCATGGCACACTCTGTAATCTCAGCACTCAGGAGGAAGAGGCATGAGGATGGCTAAAAGTTTAAGGCCAGCCTGGTTTTCATAGTACCACACAGACCCTGTCTCAAAAGTAAAAAAAAAAAAGCATTCTGGGAGGAAGAAGAGACCCAACATGTGGTTGGATGGAAAAATGTGCTAAAATTAGGATTAAGAGAGATGGAGAAAGACCAAGTGTAAAGCTAAATAAATAAAAACAGGAACAGACAGAGTACATCATAAGTACCGATAGGGACACTTCTGAGGATACAGGTAAGGGGCTAAAGTGGTCTAGGGCTTAGAACCCAGGTTTGGGGCTGAGAGGGCGGGCCTTAGAAGGAAGGGGCGTTTTCGGGGTGAGGGGCGTGGAAAGGGCGGGTCAGATGGGGGAAGGGAAATGTTCTGGGCTGTGGGGGAGGGC